GGAAAGAGAGATGGGGGAGAAGAGAAGCAGTAAGACAGACATAGACAAGTACCACCTACATGCCACAATCTGTCTTAGTCTCAGACATCCTGGATGATGGGCATGTGTGCACACCCAGCGTACACAGGGAGGCCCTGGGATGCAAACAGGGTCCATCCTTTGCAAGGCATTACATTACTGTGACTACACTGTGTGGATGCTCTGTGTTTTTAAATAAATAACATTAAGCTATATTTGAAATCAAATGAAAAGGAAAGGAAAGGAAAGGAAAGGAAGAACAGTTTATTCTTTTCTTCCCTAATTCACTCATTCAGTCCAAAACCATTTGTCAAGCACCTAGTACGCGTGAAACATTGTGATAAGTTATCTTATTTTAATGGGTATGACAGTCATACATCTACTGATTATTCCTGGCAAATATGTGACAGACAAAATAGCATTTTTAAAGTAAATACATATTTTACTGTCTCTATAGTTTTACCTTTTCCAGCATTTCATATAGTTGAAAACATATAGTACATAGCCTTTTCAGATTGGTTTCTTTCTACCTATCAGTAAATTACAAATTTCTATGACTTGGTAGGTTATTTCTTTTTATTGCTGAATAATATTCAGTTGCAGGATCAGCAGTTGGCATTATGGCTATGTCGCTGGGCTCCCCTGTAGTCTACTATGATTCGAGTCCCGGACCCGATGGTTTAAACTCACGCCGGGTGTGTGTGCATGTGTGCCCAAGATCCCAAGAGGAGAAAAGAGGAGAAGGGATTGCAGTGTGGCTATCCCACCGGGGGGTAATTTCTCACTTTCTGTCTCTCTGTCTGTCTGGAGAGCACACGCACCCTACAACAAAAACCTCTCCAAAAAAAAAAAAAGAAAAAACATTTTTGAGATTCAATAAAACAGTGAAGAAAACATAAATACACTGTTTTAACAGTTCCAGAAAAACAGTATGAAATTTGTTTTTTCTCTTTTTTTACAAAAAGAATTATTTATTTTAGTGTTATCTCTTATTATTATTATCTTTTAATTTGCTACAGGACATGTACACTCACCAGAGAGAGACAGAGAGAGAAAGAAACAGAGAAAATGAGAAAGCAAGCTGCCAGGTCTAGGATTTGAACTGTGGTTAACCATGTGTGAGTCCAGTGCCTTAACCACCATGCCACATACTGGCCCCAACAGCACTAAATTTGACTATATGAAGCCAGAGTGACACTAAAGACTATATTACTACAAAGTATTAGTTGTATATAATCAGTCTGTGGTATCTATAATAAATGCCGCTTTATAAAACATACCTGTCATAGCACAGAAGGTCAATAATAATGGAAAGGTAAATGTACACTATAAGAAAAGTACAATTTTACTATGAGACAAAAATAAACTTACTGGCTCTCCTGTAAGTCCTCTGTCTCCTGTACTCCCAGGGGGTCCCTGTAAACCCTGAAAAAAATAAAGGCAAACTTGTAGGAAAAAATGATGCTGAAAATGTTTTAGTGAGTTTCTTCACCTTAGTTTTTTTCCTTTTGTGGTAAAATACATGTAACATTAAATTTTACTATTTTATTCATTTTTAAGTGCGTAGTTCTATGGCATGAAGTACATTCACTATTGTGCAACCATCACCATGATCCTTCTCCAGAACTCTTTCATCTTCCCAAACTGAAACTCTGTATCCAGTGAACACTAACTTTTCATTTTCCTTTTCCCATTTCTATCCCCTGATAACCAGGGT